ACGTGTCAGACTTCGCTGTAGGAGCAGTGCTTTCTCAGGTCTTCCCTTCATGTCCTGATTCCTCTCATCCTCGTATCCCTCGCTTCCCACCACCTACCCCTACCACTGCTTCCCGACTGACGCCTACTCGTCCAGCTACTGACGAGCCTTCTACTGACTATTCTCCTACCATCGCCGAGGACGGCACTGTCGAGTCTCGCTCAGGTGATTGTCCGATAGCCTTCTACTCCCGTCAGCTCCTGCCCGCCGAGATAAACTACACTGCTGATGAACGTGAGGTTCTCACAGTAGTTTATGCCGCTCGACATTGGCGTCACTACCTTAACGGGGCACCATTCACGGTGCGCACGGACAACTCTGTTGTCCAGGCTTTTCTGACAAAGCCGAAGCTCACTCCTCGACAGGCTCGCTGGTGGCGCGACCTATCCGAGTTTAGTTTCACCACTGATCACATCAAGGGTGAGACTAATCGGGTCACAGATGCCCTATCCCGGCGCCCTGACCACGACCAGGAGCACATCCAACTCTCTTCCCTCTCGGTCACCACCGTCCACCACTCGGTGATCGACGAGTTTCGCACTCAGTACCGCCACTGCCCCGACTATCGCGACATCCACGCGACCCTTCGGAGTGGCAAGATCGTCCCGAACTACTCTCTCGGGGACAACGGTCTTGTGTACTGGCACGGTTCACAGGGCACCAGAGAGCCCCGTATTTGCGTTCCCTCCACTGGACAGCTACGTGTCCGAGCAGTAGCAGAGTTCCATGACCAGGCAGCTGCCGGTCATATGGGCTTCCACAAGACGTTGGCTCGTGTGAGCCGCCTGTACGTCTGGCCGAAKCGCAAGGACTTTGTGAAGKACTACRTYGCAGAGTGTSCCACCTRTCAGGAGGTGAACAGTGCGAACCACCTACCTTATGGTTTGCTCCAGCCTCTTCCTATCCCTGAGGGTCGTTGGCAGTCCATCTCGATGGACTTTATCGGTCCTCTTCGACCTCCGACCCCCCGCGGTCATGGTGCTATCCTGGTCGTCGTCGACCGCTTCACGAAGCGTGCACGCTTTGTTCCGTGCCGCTATGCCATCACTGCACGTGAGGTCGCCGACATTGTATTTGACCGAGTCGTGCGTGACCACGGCTTACCTCTGAGGATCATATATGACCGTGACCCTCGCTTTACCAGCCGATTCTGGCGACGGCTCCACGAGGTGTACGGCACTCAGCTCCGCTTCTCCTCGTCTTACCATCCTCAGACTGATGGTCAGACTGAGATCACGAACAGCACTCTCAGGGATATTCTCCGAAAGATTGTTCGTGACGACCAGCAGTGGGATCTCCATCTTGCCCACGCCGAGATAGCCTACAACCACGCCGTCTCGCCAGCCACGGGGATGTTGCCTTACTATTGCGACCTCGGCTATCACCCGCGTGTTCCCGCGGACTTCCTTCGACCGTCCGAGATGCACCCCGACACGAGTTGTCCYGCGCTGGATGATTGGGTTGCACACATGACGTCGATTATGAAGACCGCACATGAGCACATAGCCGCTTCCCAGACTCGCATGGCAGCACGTGCGAACCGATCGAGGATGGATCACCCATTCAAGGTCGGTGATGATGTGCTTATCGACGCCCGCCACTTACAAACTCGAAGCGGACACGCTTCGCAAGTTTCGGCGTCGCTTYTTTGGCCCATGCCGCATCCTCCAGGCCGTCGGTTCTGATACGCCATCTAGCCCGGTCAGCTTTCGTGTGAAGCTGCCCGACTACCTACGCCAGGCTCGTGTGCATGATGTCTACCACGTCTCGTTACTGCGTCCTTACCGCAGACCGTCTGAGCATTTCGCTGGACGACCATACGAGCGTCCTCCACCCATCATGGTGGACGGCCACGAGGAGTTCCTCGTTTCAGACATCATTGGTCGCCGAGTCACCGAC